GCCGCCTCTGCCAGGGGTTCTACGCCCTTCATTTCGCCCCTGTTGCCGGATATCTGGAGGAAGAAAATGCGCAGCTTAGCCGTATGCTGCCGCTGGCTCTTCCTCAAAGAGGAGAACGCAGCGTCATGGTGAGAAGGAGGGGAAGGCGCCGGTTTAGAACACCCATGGCTCCCGCTGCTCCTCGGCTGGTCCCGCGGAACCGGCTCAATACCGGCACCTGCGGGGACAGGCTGCGCGATCCCGACAGGCCTCTGCTCCGGCTCCGCGCCGAAGAGAGAGCTTCGGGGTGGGGTGGGCCATCCTCCTGGAAATGAAGGGCTGTGGGAGAAAGCGTCCCAGCGGCGAGAGCTGTGTGCCTCACCACCCAAGACGCGAGGGCGAGTTCTTCCGCCTCCTCCCACTGTAAAGTCATGAAAAGTGACGTGTGTGACGAATGCATTGAATAAAAACAATTGCATTTATCCCAGAGTAAGAGTAATTTCTCTCCACAATTCCACATTTCCCCATAATGTCTCGTTGAATTCGGCAAGATCCGTTTCATACGATGTTAACTGGGCACCCATTATGAGACACAGTTCCCCACTCACCGGCCCCGTTGTAACTCCAGTAAAAGAGGCAGCCGGTGGGCATGTGAGTGAGATAAACCGCAGGAAGTGCTGTCAAAGCACTATGCGGGGGCCGGAACATTATGGCCGGCGTGTTGTCGGGAAACACACCTCGCCTAGTGTGATAGCTCCGATTAATGCATTTCACCGTCAGTGTGGCCACGGCATTATGACGGAGCGCCGGGTGGATGGACAGGACACTGAGACTGGGTTACTCACTCCAGTGCTGCAGCGTCCCTCCTCCATTCAAGGGCATAAGAGAGGCAAATCTATCATCCCAGGAGGAGATAGGTTTCCTTTCAACAGAGAAAACAGGCTGTGTCTGTTGTGCACTCTCAGGAAAAAGGGGGATTTACTCCATGTACTTTCTGGTTTCCAAGAAGACAGGAGAATTCAGACCCATTCTGGATCTTCGCATCCTGAATCAGCACATTGTCTGCAAAAAGTTCCATATGTTAACCATAAAACAATTACTGGAAGTGGTGCAGCCGGGCGATTGGTTCACAAACCATCGACCTGAGGGACGTTTACTTTCATGTCAAAATTGCTCCAAAGCACGGAAGGTATTTGCATTTTGCCTTCCAGGGGATAGCCTACGAGTACAACTACCGTTCGGCTATTCCCTATCCCCACGCACGTTCAGCAAATGTGTGAACCACAGCGCTTCAGCCGCTTCGCAACCATGGCATGAAGGTTTTATTTTATCTCAATGACCTCATGGCCAGGTCCAGGGAATGGGCAATGTTCCACACAGCCCAATTGATCCTACACCTAACCAAGTTGGGATTTGCGGTCAATTGGAAGAAGAGCAGTCCCATACCTCACCAGCAGGTGGGGTATCTGGGGATTTTGCTCAATGCAGCCCCCATCAAGAGCGAGGGGTACGCCCCCATCGAGAGCGAGGTGTACGCCCCATCGAGAAGGAGGGCAGGCTACGTGCCACTCTGTCAGAGGACAGACGTGCTGCGAGGAAGGGAGTCTAGAGCCTCTGTCCGGTACATTGGGCTCTATTATATCCTGGCTATAGCTACTGGTGGACAAGGGGCTTGCTCATGCCACAGTCAATGTGTATGCAGCAGCCATCTCGTCCTGTCATGCGGGATTTTGCAGCAGACCAGTCTTTAGCCAACCGCTTATGAAGGGTTTTTTGCAGGGGATCAGGATACAGCGCCCAGTGGTGCGTGTCTCCACTCCGCAATGGGAACTGCCATTGGTGCTCAAGGCTTTGGTTACAGAACCGTTGAGCCACTGGAGCTCTCCTCCCTGTAGGCACTATCATTGAGAGAGAGAAGCAAAAGGAAACAGAGTATGCAAACTGACCGCTCTATCGGTGCACCCGAGTTGCCTTCTGGTTCGTGGTGACCGTAGCATCAGGGCGACACTCAGACCTAACCCCTTCTCTGTTCCCAAGAACCTAAGGAGTTCTTCCAGGTCGAGGGTTATACAGCTAGACGGCTTTAGTCGTCCACCTATACACGGCAGCGTCTTGGTCTACACCTTCATAAGGTAAGTATCTCTTTGACATGTCTGGCGAAAGGAGGAGGGCTGTGGGTCAGTAAGCTGTATCTGACCCAGAGTCCTGCATCGGGTACCCGACGGGTGACCCGCAAAAAAGGTGATTCGCGGGTGGTATTTTTTCAAACGCTTTTTTCCTGGTTCGGTTCTGGGTAAAACAAAGATGATGCGGGTCGGGTCGCGGGTGTTGCATAATAAATATATTAAAATAATAATAAATTAGTTTAATGTTTAAAATCCTCAGACCTCTCCCCCGCGGGACCGCACATAATCATAACCTCTGCAGCGCATCAATCTGCTGCTGAGCGCGCCACATTCGAAATGGCTGAGGTGAAGCTCTCTAGCGGAGAATACAGCATTTTCAATAACACTTCCTCAAGAGCGAAATCCAACGTCTGGGAGGCTTTTTGTGTCATCCTAGATGGAGAAAATAACCAACATCCCACGCTTTCTGAGACAAATATGAAACTGCGTGTGTTAATAATTGCACGTTTTCACTGCTCATAGGCTATGCGGGTTCGGGTCGGGTTGCGGATCTTGTGCCGACGGGTCGGGTCGGGTTGCGGAACTAATTGGCAATATGTGCGGGTAGCGGGGCGGGTTCGGTATTGCACGTCGCGGGTGCGGGGCGGGAGCGGGTCTTGAAAATCAGACCCGTGCAGGACTCTGATCTGACCCCCTTGGACATAATGCACGTACGTTGTCCCATGCTCCTTAGGGACCTGGGAAGCATGGTGCGCAGTGTGTAGTCACTTGCGCTGGCACCTGCAGGGTGGAGCAATGGGCTTATTCAGACCAATTAGGCTCTACCCAGCCAAGTAAGCTGCGGCCCCGACTTCTCCACGGTCTCAAAGGCCGGTCAGGGGCAGTGTGGTGGGTCGATGTTGTGGGACGACAGGGCGTTTATCCATCGGGGCTCCACCCACTGTACCCATAGAGTCCAGTAGAGGGCGGAGCCTGTGTGATATAGAACGATGGGTTACGTATTGGAACCCTAGTTCTATATGCACAGGCGGAGCCCTCTACCTAGGGGCCCTGTCTTTCCTATGCCGCTCGCTGAAGAGAGTGTAGGATGACAGTCAGGAGGCGTAGCCGCCTTATATACTGTGAGCTGCGCGCGCATTCAGGTAGGTTCGCCCTGATTGGCCAGCTACGTTTATACAACTTCAGTGTGTGAACGCTCGCGTATCATTGATGAGAGTAGTACCCATAGAGTCCAGTAGAGGGTGGAGCCTGTGCTTATAGAACTAGAGTTACAATACGCAACCCACCGTTTTGTTTGCAGAATAATCTCCACATATTAACACCAATTTTATGATTTTTGAAGAGTTGAACATTGAGAAATTATAACTGCAAGACTTCACCGCTAAGCTAAAGGTGGCTAATGTTTGACATGATGGTGTTTAGTGTTCTCATTTAGCCACCAGCTCTTTTATAACACAAGATGCTTTGGACATTCACCAGTGTGGTATTCACTGAATAGTTTAATGTCATAGAACTAAACCTGAAAAATCTCTTTTAGTCAAGCACAGTACCTAAGTTTAAAATAGTGTTACTTGTACTTGGCTTGTGTATTTTTACATTACAATACATGCTTCTTCTCCACTACATGGGAAGCAAATGTTAATAACTGACTTTATTAATTATTTACTCCACTACTTTTATTTTTTTGATTTAGTTACTAGTCACTTTGCAGAATTAGTTTATTAATACTATATATACATGTATTATTTTACTCTTACTACTTTTATGTTTTGATACTCAAACTTTACATTTACTTAAGTAAGATTTTGAATACAGGACTTTTACTTTTAACTGAGTATTTTCACATCGTAGTATTGCTTCTTTTACTTAAGTAAATATTCTAAAGACACCACCCCGGTTCTTAACCCTATACCTTGTGTGTGGCATTTCACCAAAAACACATTAAAAAACCCAATGACTTCAAGACGAGAGAACAGGAAGTGGTAAAATGTTCACTCATTTCTGGGTTTATAGATTAATTCCTGCACCTCTCTATACATACCTCTATGTTCCCATCCTCCTCTCCATGCTGAACATGTACCGATTCTCATAGATCTTCAGAAATAAGTCAGCTCTAATAGATATTTTCTTCATGTAAACCTTAACTCCTCGCTCCATCTGCTTTATCTTCTGTATATCCTACTGTTGTGCAGCACATATCAAATAGATAGTGATACAGCTCCGGACAGGGAAAATTATGAATAAATAAACACTTGAAAGGACCAGCTCATCTTGTCAGCATTGTTGTCATCTCACCAATGAAGCCTAAACAAATATGTCTTCCAGGTGTCTTACCTCGCTGGGAGTAGTCACAAAATGGACGTTGGAGGTAATTATAGAGCTTGAGATACGGATGGGAAAATGTGTGTGTGTGTGTGTGTGTGTCGATATGCTGTGTGGTAAGACAGAGAAGGTGTGTATGAAGCTGCATGTTTTGGGTTATTTGACTGCTCCACTGCCCCCTTATAATGAAAACAAGCTTTTATCACATGTTTACTGTTTCTGAGGCTTTTTGTTGCAGGATTAGTCTTATATACAGTACATGCCTTAGTGTAAGCTACTAGGACAACAGAAGTGGCTACTGGGTAAACCCAACAATGATGGTGTCAGTTTGCATGTCTGGATGTGTGTGTGTGTGTGTGTGTGCGTGTGTGTGTGTGAGTGTGAGTGTGAGAGTGTTTGTGTGCGTGCAACTGTGTGTGTGTTTGTCTCCCCCGCTGCTGCCACTCACTGTAAACTAGCATGCAGCTCGTCACAGACAGACGTTGACACACTCCCAGTCTAATGTGCTCATTAGAGACTGCACAGCACACACATAATTGATAGCCACGACACACACGATGCATACACACATTATTGCAAAAAACAGTTTCCTTTTTTTAATGCTGCAGTAGAAAACAAGGTTATATGAAGTCATATAATGGGGGTTCATTGTCAAGAACAACAACAACAACAGAAAAGGAAATGAAAAAAGACTAACGGCACAGAATGCATTACAGTATCTGTGCTGTTTACATGCCGATATTTTACACATAAGGATTCTTTTTTTTATTTCTCTACCCTGGCAGCTGTCAGTTACTTCAGCAAATTAACTGCCAGAAAATGTAGCAGATCTTGTCACTCAAGAGGTTAGTGTAACCATGGTTACCTTTCATATCCCAAAAATATAAAGCTGCAGTGTGGAATCATGGCAGAGTAATTAGACAGAACAAAAAGATAGGACCAATCGAAAAAGGCATTCAACGATATGAAACAACCAAGAGTGCTTATAAATAACAGTTTACATGTGAAATATCTTTATAAAGTAACATCTTTTTGTACAACCTTTTAATATCTTTTAAGTGTTCATACAGTGGCACATGTAGTAGTGTCTGGTAAAGAGAGTCTTTAACCCTTTGAGCACGAGTTGGGAATAAAAAGATTCACCTGTTGTCATCCTTTTGCTACCTATCTTTTTTTTCGTATCCTTTTGATTAAATAACACATTTATAAAACTATTGTGCAAAACAATTTTATTCATGTCTTCATATACTGTGCACCAGCAGATAGTCATAATCCTTTTAAATTAAAAAATATAGAAATTATGCATAATTTAGACAGGAATTACTTAATGTTTTTATATACATATTGTACACAGACCTGAATTAATATAGGTCCCTGATCGACCAAAGTAAAACACTTATTTTTTTCCTTTGCATTTTTACCACATAGCTACATATTGTGTCAAATCCTGCAAACATACCTCAAACAAATATTAATCCCAGGATGAAAACCTTGCATTGAATAGAGTATCCCCTTGTTGCTAGGATTAGACACTGTATATCCTGGAAACACATCTATTTCTCACAATAGCTTCAATAATTCACAATATCAAATCTTGAGTCAATAGCGTTTGGATCTTAGGTGAAGAAGTGCTTTGACGTACTCAGAGGGTTAAATTTAAAATGCTGACTCCAGCACAAAAAAGAAAAAAAACAAACAGAGTAAAACAAAAGAAAAATAAATCATGGAAAGTGCACCAGATTTAGTTATAAAACGTTTAACTAAACTGTTTCATTTATGCATGCAGCTTATCACATCCCAGTGATGTCAAAATATAAAGGAACTTAATTCCATGTACACAAGTTTCACATCACTTCATTTTAGAATCTCTTGTTTTAAACCTTCATATACTGTATCTTCTCAATGACAGAAGCCCCCATCTACACATTTAGAAAAAAAGTCATTTTTCCTGTCAAAGGAGATCACTAAAATCAAGTGTCTTAGGTCAGAGTGAGTCTACCTCACACAGCAACTAAAGAAAAAGAAACAACTGCTACAACACAAAATGTAAAACTATGTGCCAAAACTCAAAACAGTAGTTGAATGGCATCTTTGTGCAGTTCCGTCACGTTAATAATCCTTTCTTTAGTTTTCAGAAATGTCTGTGAAAGTCTTAAGAGAGACAGCAAGACAGAGTGAGCCGTTAAAAAGAACGCAGCATTGTCCCCAGCCAGTGCTACTGTTTCTCCAGCTCACACACATACATGAGATGGTCCTCAGGGGACTTCCCATGAGTCTTGCTCAGGTGAAGCTTGACTGCGTGCTTGCTCGCAAAAGTCCGGTTGCAGAGCTTGCACTGGAACATAGCGGCAATCTCATCGTCTTCTGGGGAGGGTGACGGGGATTCAGTCGAGGTGGTTAAAGAAGAGGGCAGGGAGATGGGTAAGGAAGAAGCTAGGGATGTGGGTAGAGAGGAGGCTAAAGGGTGGCTGGATGGGTGAAGATTAGCAAGCAGTTTTTCAGATAGTCCTTTGGTGTGGCGTTGTTGATGATGTTGCTGCGAAATCTGACTGAGAAGCTCCCCAGAAAGCTTGGCCAGGTCTCGCAGACGGAAACCCAAGTGGGATTCCAAGTGGCTGACGTAGGTGGATGGCGAACGGATCTGAGAGGCGCAGTCGCTGCAGAAGAATACTGGGTGACCGGAATCCAAGTTTTTCAAGAACTTGGTGCCACCGGTTCTCCTCAGCTGGTACTTGACGTTAGCCAACCAGTGGGATATTGTGGTCATTGAGAGGCCTGTGAAACGGGAGATGTGCATTCTCTCCTGCGGGCTAAGGTCCGACATCACATACTTGCCGTCGCTTGTTTGTCTCAGACTGGCGGCAAACTGGGCTTGTAGGATGAGGAGATGTTGAGGGTTCCAGTTGGACTGTCGGCCTTTGCGTTTCTGGGCTGGTGACACATCATCCATATCCTCTTGTGTCATACCTTCAATGTCGGAGCGCTCAGACAGGCTGGTAGGGGTGGAGGACTTGGAGACGGACTGACTTTCTGTCAGGTTCCTCAACATGTCAGAGATATCTGACAGTGCGTTTTCTCTCAAAGGGGAGCTGGACATAAAGGAAGCTACTGCAGCAGAGGCTTTGGTCATAGTTACAGTGGAGGATGGAGAAATTGAGGACGGGGTGGTGGTGGAAGAGAGAGCTGTTGAACCCAGAGAACCACTACTGCCATTTTTGTCAGCATGTTTACCTTTGGTGAGATCAATAGGTTGGTCGCTGTTGACATGTTGCTGGTAGAAGTATCGGTCTAAGCGGTCATTACCCGACTTTTTGGTCTGTGCTGGTGGGGTGGAAGATGCCACCGCTGCTTTCTCTGCCAGGCTGTTGCTCATCTTGAACAGCATGCTCATGGGGTCAAGGGAGGGCAGGGCGGGCTTAGAGGCCTTCCCCAGGTGGGCGTTCATTACTGACTGCAGTGCGCTGAGAGGGTTGACAAATGGCTGTTCTGGAGGTGGATGGTCTGTGATGATAGCTGTACTTCCTAACAGGGAGGCAGGCAGGGGGGATGTCATAGCAGTGGACTCCACTCCATTCTCCGCTGTTTCTTTTATGGATGTATCTCCGTTTGAATCTCTGTGATTGGCTCCGCTTCCATCACCGACTACTTTTTCTGCTTCACTTGTATTCTCTGGAGTTGTACAGGCTCCTGCTCTGTTTTCTTTGGGTGACTCTCCTCGGGCTGAGTCCCCTGCCTCGCTGTTGCACGGTGAAGGTGTGGTACGTCTCAGAGGTGATGCCCTCACAGCACTGCTGGGCTCTCTCATTTTCTCCTCTACCTTGGCCACTTTCTCTGTCACTTTCTTGACCAGTTCCTCCATAGCATGGAAGTTGTTTTTTGGCAGCAGGGAGTTCTGGCTCCTGTGATGGGAGATTAGAGGCTGGTTTTTACCGGTATGAGAAAAAGTATCTCCCCCAGGGAACATGTATCTAAGGGCAGAGCTCTTTCCAGTGTTGCCAAGCGAGAGCTTCATTATGTTTGGGAGCTGGTAAGCAGCATGGATACTGGGATATCCACCCCAGCTCGGAGCACCATTCTGGGCTTTGTTGATGGCTGATGTCACTGTGTTCTCCAAGGACTTGAGGATGTCAAAACCCCCTTTTGGACTTTCATCAAGATCTTCCTCGGTCAGATAAGAGTATTTTGAATTAACGTCAAACTTCTCTTCAGCCTCATCCTCACCTCCTGCCTTCCTCTCCTTGAGACTACCATTGTTCATGATGGACTCTTTTGTGCATTCCTCCTCCTTCTCCTCTTTTTTTATCTCCACAACCATGGCAGTGGGGGAGATGCTGGTTGGAGGAGGCACCGGGGCAGGTGGAGGGGAGAAGGTTGTGGCAGCCAGGGGAACAGACTGGAACTTTTCTTCTGTTAAAATGGGTGTGGGGGTTGGGATGGACATTTCTAAAATGGGTTTGCCTTTCTTAATAGCAGAGTTGGTGACTTTAATAAAGTGTCCGGTTACCATCATGTGAGCAGTAAGCTCTTGTAGTGTGTCATGAGAGCTGCCACACTCCATGCATTTGAGGATCTGTGACTTCCTAGATTCAAACTGCCAGGCATAGCTGGCACCGTTCTGGTGTCCATAGCGGTTGTTAGGTGTGATGTAAGGATTGGTGACCTTCTGGTGTATGTCATGAGAGTCGTTGTGTGAGTTGGGCTTAGGTGTGGTGCCTCCATTAGAGTCTGGTGAGCTAGGGATGTCTAGGTCCATAGGGACTCTCTTTCTAGCCGAGGAGATAATCTTAGCTGCCACTGGTGTAACAGGCTCTTTCAGAGGCACTTTCTGGTAGTGTTTCGTCTTGATCATGTGGACGCTTAGGTCCTGCAGGGATTCGAAGGAGTGCCCACAGTACATGCACTTGAGGACTTTCTGTGCATCCTCCTTCCCTTCCATCTCTAGCAATGACCGCTTTCTTGGTTTCGACCACCGTTTAGCACCGTCACCATCCGTTTCGTGGTTATCGTCGCGGTAGTGTCCTGTCTCATTCATGTGCACCGTGAGCCCCACTAGTGTGTCGTAGGCCGCACTGCAGTCCTTACAGTGGAACTTGCTGGCACCAGTGAATATGGAGCCATACAGCTTGGAGCTCTGCCGGTACAGCTGGACGGTACTAAATAGGTTGTGCTCCGTAGATGCTGCAGATACAGCCACTGTGGGGTGTTGAACCATGCCTATTCTGTTGTGGTGGTTCTGTGATGCCTGCTGGAGGGTCTTAGCCATAGCTGTCTGGTGCCAGTCGTAGCCTCCACTTCCACAGCTACTGCTACTGCTGCTGCTGCTGTTGCTGCTGTGACTGCGAGGGGGTTTCTCTGGAGGGGGCTGGCTCAGGTTTAGATTCAGTGTGGACCAATAGGAGTTGGTCAGGAAGGAGGTGTAAATGGCCTTCATCTTCTCCAGGCTGTCAGCCACGGACCCTGTTGTCGCTAATATGGCCTCATCTCCAGTTACTGTTGCAGCAGCAGTGGCAGCAGCCATCATGACAGAGGGGGAGGACAGGGAAAGGGCATTCGGGTCTTTAGAGAGGAGCATATCATCCTCATTTTTAAGTGACGATATCTCGAAATCAGACAATCTGTCACTGGATTCGCTCAGGTGAGACTCGCTGTCCAGCTCTTGCCCAGAAAAGTCAGCTGCATTGGGGGAGTCATGGAAGCCAGTGGATCCCGGCCTCTCCTGACATAGGAACTTAGCGGCAGGCTCCTCCCCTTCCTGTGCTGAGTCATCTCCTTCAAGGTCCTCATCCAACAGGGCTGCTTCCTTCTCATCTTCTGGGACGTATGCTGCTCAGACAGAGACAAGAAAAAACAGAGAGAGAGATGTGTTAGAACCACACTGACAGCATATCTAACAAAGGAGATTCTCAACTCTGTATTACTTTTTCTTCAACAAGCAGGGAACTGATATAATCACAAGATACTGACATTCACTCTTTCTCCAGAGGAAACACAGCAATCATCCAATGGCATTCACAGACACAAGTATTTCCTATCATAAACTCTTGCAGTAATTCTGTTCTAACTTCCTCATTTTACATTGACATTGTTTTCAAATCGGAATCAAGTTGCCACCCCCTCCTATTCTCTCCCCACCCCCAGGTCTTTGTTCTGTACTGCAGAAAATCAGAGACAGCCAGAGAGAAAAAGAGACTGAGGATGGAAAGAGAGATGGAGGGAGCGAGAGGGGAAAGAAATGTCTCTTCAAACAGAACTTGCCACCTTATTCTTCTCAAGGGGCAACAGCTTGAAATTAAAACTAAATTTGAAATTAATGAAGCACATTCTGGCGGTGGCATTCGTTTCTGAAGTAATAAATTACTTGTATCAACCTCGGAGACAGCGGTTCCTGTCTGTCAATTAATATGTCTTACGCTTCTTCTGCAGTCTCTAATGCATTCCCAAATAGACACACTCGCCATTTCAATTAAGCATGCATTTTCACTCATTACACTGCTCAGCCCTCGCCTCCTCGTAAATAAAAATGAATGTATGTACGTTTGCCTGCAACAAATCTCTCCCTGCAAAACCCATTTGCTTCAATTACCAAAGATTAGAAAAAGTTTAGAGTTATTATTTACAGTTTAGCTTCAGGGAGTGGGCTTGAGGCTTTCAATTTATATTCAAATCTCTCTAGTTTAAGAATAATACAATGGAAATCATAAACAGGAAATATGTATCAAGACAAATCACATTCCGCCTCTTTGTACATCTATGAATGTTTTTTTCTGTTAATAAGACTATGAAAGGGATGGAACAACATCAGATGAGAAATGCTGCATGCTCACACTTTGTGATTAAAGCTGGATTTCTGAATAACAATTGAAGCGTGCACAGGCAACATACACAAACTTCTTGTTCTAGCAACTACACTGGTAAAGAAGATGAGTGTGCGTGTGAACGTTAGCGGCCTTGTGCCTGGCATTCCTTTCTGCAACAGGCCATCACTCATCTGAGCTGGTATGTAAACACAGAGCGAGGCGGTCAGTGGGACGGGTGTGGCACGGAAGCACATATTCAATCACAAAGTACCACTTTCAAACACGCAAAGGTTGGATACATCTAAAAATAATTGCAGAGTTGTGCGATATCTATAATAAAAAATACAGTAAACATGAAAACATATTAGACTGATAAAAACATTAGTTTTATCAAAAAGGGCTAAAAATGACAAACTTCTCTTTAAAAAAACAATATATATATCTTCACAAGTTATCAGATTTGTTATGTTAATAATGCAGACAAATCTAAAATGTCATCACATTACTTAAAAAGACTTGATTTAAAAAAGAAAGATCATGAAAATAATATTTTCCAACATTATTTTGAAGAATCATCTTTTCTAGAGTTCATTATATACATTATTTTAGTCAGGATTTCTAACAAAACTTCTAATCATGCCTATAGTTCTGAAATAATAGCCAGACATACGAATTGAAAACAGACGTAAACAACCTGCCATATCATACACCACACTTCAGCTGTTGTTGCTCCCATCTCTAACTGAGCACCGCAAGTTGTGTGTGTGTGTGTGTGTGTGTGTGTGTGTGTGTGTGTGTGTGTGTGTGTGTGTGTGTGTGTGTGTGTGTGTGTGTGTGTGTGTGTGTGTGTGTGTGTGTGTGTGTGTGTGTGTGTGTGTGTGTGTGTGTGTGTGTGTGCTAGCACTGCATCGAGGAGTCTCTGTCATTGTTAGGGTACTGGTTGCCATCGGCAATGATACGACACCACCGTGGGACAAACAGATGCACAGAGACACAGATATCCCTGAGCCCATCGCACACACAAACTGTCTCTCTCTCACACACACACACACACACACACACACACACACACACACACACACACACACACACACACACACACACACACCAGTTGTACTGTAACTGCTGTATTCTAACAACTGTTTGCCTTCAGGCCATCTCAGGAAGTTATCTGTTAAACAAGCGCTCTCCTCCAGCATTCAATCTCACAAAAACAAAACACGTTGTCTATGAAATGCCGTTAAATGCATTTAATATTGCAGTGGTCTATGTTAAGCATTAATGCATTTGAGCTGCATGTTTTTAGCCTTTGTGGATATAAAATATGCACATGCACACGCACGCACGCACGCACACACATACACACACACATACACACACACACACACACACACACACACACACACACACACACACACACACACACACACACACACACACACACACACACACACACACACACACACACACACACCCCATCTCTCTCAGAGCTTCCCCATCTCTCCTCCTCCCTTTCCCCCACTCTGTCTCGGAGACACATCCACCCGCCCGCACATACGTGCAGCCGAGCAGACCCACATGTACATGCCACCTGTTCTGAATCAGCCAAAACGACAGCTGTTTAAGAGAACAATGCTCTGGCTGAGGAAACAGCCGAACACAGCCGCCCGGCACTCTCATCAAGGCCAAACATCAATATGAAATCTCCTTTAAAACACAACGTGCAAATTCAAATTAGCTGCCTCTGTGTGATAGGAACACAGTGTGTATGTATGTCTATGTGTGTGTGTGTGTGTCATCTGTGTACCTGCAAATGTGTGATATAGACACATGCTGAGGATCAGAGAGAACATTGTGTTTGCCAGCAAGACCATGCATGCACTGAAAGAAAGGCCGGTGTGTAGGCTACATCCACCTACATCGAGCATGAAGAGCACGTTGTCTGAGACAGGGTGTTAAAATATGGAAACATTTGGACATTTAACAGGTGCAGTGTTGCAATAAATTGATACAATGGTTTGCATCAAATCTGCTAATCTACAGCTGCCTGCATTGTTTTGTGACATCACTAAAAACGGGGGGTTACGTATTGTAACCCTAGTTATATAAGCACAGGCGGAGCCCTCTACTGGACTCTATGGGTACTACCTCTTAACCATTCTATGCGAGCATTCACCTACTGAGATATCTATAAACGTAGTCGGCCCCTCGGGGCGAGCCTACCTGAATGCGTACGCAAGCCCACCGTATATAAGGCGGCCACGCCTCCTGACTGTCATCCTACAGCCTCTTCAGCGAGCGGCATAGGACAGACAAGTAGAGGGCTCCGCCTGTGCTTATATAACTAGGGTTACAATACGTAACCCCCCGTTATATCTCACACAGGCTCCGCCCTCTACTGGAGTCTATGGATACAGTGGGTGGAGCCCTGATGCATAAACGCCCTGTCTTCCAACAACCTCGACACACCACACTGCCGCTGACCGGCTTTTGGTTAACAGCCACTGCACCGCAACTTATTTTCCTCCGGCTGTGACCGTGGAGAAGTCAGGGCCGCAGTATACGTGGCTGGTAGAGCACACTCAGACACGCTTACCTCGTGAAGAGTATGCATGGGAAATAGTGAGGAGAGTCCTCCAGCCCTGTATGGGGCTTACTGCGCACCATGTTTCCCGGGTCCCTAAGGAGCATGGGAAAACATAAGTGCATTATGTCCAGGGTGGGTCAGATACCTACTTAGGTTATTGGGAACAAAGGAGGGGTTCACTCTGAGTGTCGCCCCGCTACGGTCACCCCGGATCAAAAGGCAACTCGGGTGCACCGACAGAGCGGCCAGCTCGGACACTTCCCTGGCCGAAGTCAGGGCAAGCAAAGCTGTTTTCAATGTCAGTGCTTTCAGGGAGGAGAGCTCCAGAGGCTCAAATGGTTCTGTGACCAGAGCCTCGAGCACCAACAGCAGATCCCATTGCGGAGAGGAGGCATGCACCACTGGGCGAAACCGCGTCATCTGACTGAAGGCTGACCTGCCGTCAAATCTCTCATGGCAGGACGAAATGGCTGCTGCATACACTTTAATTGTGGAATGAGCCAGCCCCCTGTACACCAGTATCTGTAAATAGGACAGAATAGACAGTGTTCTGTCCTCTGAGGATGAGCAGCAAGCAGCATACGCCAAGCTGCGACTACTCCTCATCCATGTGACCAAGGAAATCGATCCAAAGAGCCCTTCCGTAAACACGGGGGCTCCCAGGAGATCATCACGGTCTTTTTGGAAAGTGCCATGCGGCGTGATCCCCCCAACACACCCTGGAATGGCGAATGCGAATGGTGAATGTGAATGGCGAATGCGAATGGCGAACGCGAATGGCGAACGCGATGGCACCTCCTCGGCCATATCCTGGTCCCCCAAACACTCGAAGCAGAGGTGGTGGGGATCGGCGCCCGCTATTAAGTCATCGCACGAAGGACAGGCCCGGGCCTCTAGAAGTGGCGACTCCATGGAGGTATGATAACTCTTTCCTCTTCTTTCAAACGTTTTACTTTCTCTGCTTCAGTTGTTGCTCGTTCGCTGAAGAGAAAAGGATGACAGTCAGGAGGCGTGGCCGCCTTATATACGGTGGGCTTGCGCACGCATTCAGGTAGGCCCGCCCCCTGAGATATCTCAGTAGGTGAATGCTCGCATAGTATGATTAACAGGTAGTGCCCATAGAGTCCAGTAGAGGGTGTAGCCTGTGTAAGATATAACAGCTGATTAGTTTATTGAGAATGTGGCTTCCTTTGAGGTGTCCACCGAAACCTAGCTGGTGATGCCACTGTTTGATGGTGTATAGCAGTGGTTCCTAATCTTTTTGTATTTAAAGTTTTAAATGCGAATGCTAAGTAATTTGTATATCTTTTATTTTACCATTAGCATTTCCTCTATTATGAACCCCTATGTAGCATGTTCTTAATAATGTTTTTAACTTTTAAATATTATAATTTGCTTCATATTTTATTTGTGTTTTTCCAAGATTGGGGAAAGTGTCA